CCAGTTCCGTTGTGCGGCCGTCAGACATGCGTGCCACTTGAATCGAATATTCAGAGGATGATCCGGGCGTCGACTGGCCCCAGTAAACCAACCTAGGGGAACAAATGCAGTTTTGGTTATTTCATAAGCTATGCATTCATATTCCGGGGTTACGCATTTTAATGGCTAACTGTTTCATTACAGTATTTCTACCTCTGGGGTACTCTGGATTCAGCCAAAGTTGGGAAACATAAAAGAGAAAATGTTAACACGAGAGATGTCGAACCCTGGGGCTCACGTGGTCGGAGTTCTTTACTTAAAGGCATATTTGTTTAACTGTAGCCAACTCTAACCTTCGTGCAAGACGGTATCTGTGGTTGGAATACCACTGGCTGATGACGCATTTTCGCTTGTATTGGCGGCTATTACGTCCTCCGTGATCGTTCTAAGGTTTCTAATCTTCATCTATAAATATCCTCGATATTAAACTCTGTTTATCATCCAACGCGACTGAATAAATATTAATTGCTGAGACAGGGATGGCCAGATCTCGTTTTACTGCTCTCGTTAACAAGTCAAGTTTGAACACCTGATAAAGAAAACCGGGACGTTCTAACGCGGACCCTTTCTTCGTTGAGCAGGAAATTCGATCCTGCAGTTGAATTATATGCAATTAACGATGACAAAAAAAACTCATTGCATCTGCTTTTCTTGTTTGTTTTTTGCCGGTAACACACCACAGTTACTAAATGCTAGTTGGCATATGACACCCTACAAAGGAGCTTTTTGGGATTCCAAAGCAAAATGGAAAGCCGGCAATTCCCTCTGACAACCAGGATAAATCAATGAAATTGACTTCAGTTAGATCCTTAAGGATTGCGCTATTTGGCAAGATTTGAGCTTCGATAAGTGTTCGAAGTTTAGCTTTATTAGGGTAAAACAATTTGTCAAGTGATCTCTCTATTACCCCCAGAAAACGGCTAGTGTTCAGATAATGAAAATATAAATTGTACTCAGTGGTAAAAGCCATTATATGGGTGGTTGTATTACTAAAACGACCCTCGAAAAACCAGTAATTCACTTGCGTCTTCGTCCGTATCTGGGCTTTCAAAGATCGCACAATCCTCAAAAGAAGGTCCACGTCGCGTATTGAGGTCAGCATATACGGTATTTGTAATTTCTTGCGATAATGACATAAAAATGCTTCTTTGCAGAGGGCTTTAGCATATGTGCTTTATTCATTTGACCCAATTGTGAAAAACTGTACGGCCCCGGTAGGATTCTAACCCACTCCAGCAAGGGAAAGGCTTTAGTACAACCGGCAAAACTGTCTTGTAGGGCCGCCCAAATATCTGCTCAATGAATATTAAATTAAAGTTACTTATAATGGTCTTAATGAGCTAAATTTAATCAACTCCATCAGCATAAACTCCTGTTGCTCAGGCAACTAATGCTTATTCATAGAAATTGGACCCTATATAGGCGGTATTTGACGGAAAAATGGAAATTCCGGTTATTGGAAACGTAAAATTATGTTATTGTTATAAAAGTCAAATGCAAATAAGACCGCTAAATACAGTCCTATCGTACAACCAATGCCCATGCCACCTGAGCTATAATCTAGAATCTAACAGATCACGAGCAGGCTGACTTAAGTAGTAGGGCGGTTTTGACAGATCTAAATAATTCATCTAGTCAACTTGTGAAAAAAACTCAGTGGCCTAGGCGGGATGCATAGACATACTTATATCCTATTTCGGAAAGGAAGAAAGTAAAGTCTCCGCTGGCTCCATTTGTAGAAAGCAATTTTAACCGAAAACGTACGAGAGTCTCGGATGAACTGCAAGTCCGGCAATCTCAATATCATCACGGTTTGAATCCTCGCCGAGTTGAACAAAGGTGTACGTTCTGCCAGGCTGATCCGGATGAGTCACTATTATCCTCTTCCTTTCCGTATCCGCGGCAAAGATGTTGCCTGAGGTGGGATCCACTGCAATCCACGCAAATTTACTGAAAGCGTCCTCCAGCACCAGGGTGGGTTTCGCTTCTAATTGAACAGCACTGGCGTTTCCCCAACGTAGCGCGTGCCCTGAGTTACTGGTGTAGATGAGGCGGTCGGCATTGCAGTCCAGAGCTAGGGCCACTTGCTGGTGTTTGTTGTTTTCAGCTAGCGGAGAAGGAAGATGGTATAAAAGCAGTACCGCCTCTCAACAAACAAAGAGATTTCCTGTTCGCATTCTTCACCAAAATACAAAAACATAATTTTCTGACTAAATTCTTAAGGAAAACAGTAGACTGCGCGTCGGCAGCAAGTTTTACATGACACGTTTTACTTTCAACGCCCTTACTCATCCTTCTGTGAGGGAGCAATCAATTTACAGGCTTCTGCCAAAGTTTTTGCCAAGAAATCTAACAATTTAGAAGGACTGCTAGAAAATTTCACGTTTTTTAGATTAGCCGGATTACTGTAAGGTAAGCGGTTGGTCCATGCTAGTAGTTCAAGAAGTAACTCCTGCTTTGGCCTGGATTGTCGTGAGGAGAGGGGTGTTGGAAAAGTCAAATGTGCCTTACAACAACGCTGTCATCCGTGCAAGGTCAGATGCGAACGCGCGCGACCTGCGCTCGGAAGGGTTTTCATCAGCTAATGAGTAGAACCATAGAACTGGCTACAAAGTGACATGGCGACAACTGACTCAATTTGTGATCATAAAAGGTAGCTTTATTGTAAAACGTTTGACAACAATTAAATTTCACAGCTAGATTACTTAGAGCCGACCTTGTAAAACACTACGTGATCCGTTTTATTTTAGTTGCGATTCAAACTAAACAAAACAAACGCTCTTGTATTTTGACTCGGAGACATTCTACGTTTTTTTAACTTAATGCTGACTGTAAATATGCAACAATAACTGTACTTCAATAAAGTCATCACGGGCACTGCCTGAAAACTTTTGAATATACATACATCTTATATAGACTTGCGACTAATATTATGTCGTTGTGTACAAATTCCTAAGTTGTCATACGTGTTTTATGATTGATCTCATGCGTGCTGCGTCGTCTATAGTAAATGTAATGCGCAGGTTCCTTACGAAATTTGTAGTTTTTTGGTCTTTAGGAGTATGCTGTGACGTTACTGTTGGAAAATTTAGACGCTCTTTGTAAAATCAGGCCTTACCAATGTGCCATATGGCGGCAACTGCAGTTGGTTCGTCGCTCGACTGTACAGTTAAGATGCCATTGTCGCTGGAT